TGTGAGTGCTACCGGGAGTAACTAGGAATAATGACCACAAGTTGACTGAGAGTAGTTTCAAGCTAGACATCAGGAGGCGCTACTTCACTGTCAGGGCAGCTAGGATCTGGAACCAACTTCCAAGGGAAATGGTGCTCGCCCCTACCCTGGGGGTCTTCAGAAGGAGGCTAGACAGCCACCTAGCTGGGGTCATTTGACCCCAGCATCCTTTCCTGCCCATGGCAGCGGATCAGACTAAGTGATCTGCTTAGGTCCCTTCCGACCCTACCAGCTATGAAACTATTAGAAGATCAGCAGAAAAGGGAGTGTCCACTAGGTGTTAGTTTTCCTCAAATTCACTCACCATGTGTAAGTCGTCCAGGATAAGCATTTAAAGTGTTTGCATCTTACGTTTTTTCTTGGGACTAGTAATCCATATTTCTCTAGAGGGTATGTGCTACATAAAGAGAAAAGAAAACAGGGACACCAACAGTTCCAGCCAAATGAGAAGCAGAATCTATGTACTTCAGAAGAAGCTGTGGCCCCTTCCTAATGCATCATGAACTGATTTCCCTGGAATTTATGAGCTAAAATAACGCTCTTGTGGCTACCAAGGATTTTCCTGTGCTCTGAAATAGATGAGGAGCTCCTACTGCCAGTTGCTCGTGCTCCAGGCCTTGCATCTACCCTGCCACCATGGCCTGGCTGCCACTGCCACCCCCTCAGGCTGCCTGCACTGCCCACCACCCTGCCTCCTCTCCAGGGTAGAGCTGTGGCCTGAGGGGGCTGGTGGTTGCAGCTCTACCCTATGGTGGTAGGGTAGAGCTGCAACCTAGGAGGAGGTGAGTGCAGAGCAGCCCTCACATCTGTTACTCCTCGTGCTGCTGACAGCGTGACTTACGTGGGGGTCCCGCCAGTGGCAGCAACAAGTCTCGCTGCCCTGCTCCACCCTTTTGCACTGGGCTGTGCCTCGTAGGCTGCGGAGATGGCTCCTGCCTATGCCAGTCCATCCAGTCTGCAGCCCTGTGCCCTCAGTGGGGACACAAATTTGAGGGGGGCATGCCCCCCTGACACACTGCCTGTGCCCGCCCCTCCCCAACACATCATCTATGTCCCACTTCCTCTATCTTCCCATATATTTACCTGTGAGGAGCTGCTGTCCATGCCGTCTGGCTGCCACATGCATGTATGTGCCCCCTGCCTGATCACCCTCCTCCTGCAGCCACACACAGCCCCTAGCAGGCTGGAACTCTGCCAGCCTACAGACAGAAACGCAGTTTCCCACAATTTTCTCCTTTAAAGGTGAAAATTCATGATTTTTCTGCATCTTCCCATGATTGTTTGCAACCCTTTTCATATATTCTTACAACCCAAGTGGGTTGCAACCCACAGATTAAGAAATGCTGATTTAGCCTAAGTGGAGGAGGGAAACATCTCAAGTACCATTTATGGTAAATTTTTGTAGATTTTGATTTTTTTTTTTTTTCAGTTAATGCTATGGGTTTTGTTTGTATCTCATTTGTGCCATAGCCAAAGGCTTTTATGCATCTTGCGGAGCACATCTGAAAGTGCCCTTGGTCTAGAAAGTGTTTAATCCAGATTAAAAGCAAAGATAGGTAACCACAAATATAGGAAGGTAGTATACATGGTATATTATGGCTAATATATGGTAATTTGGATTATTTATTCAAACTGTTTTTAAGTTCTTGTCTGTTTCCTTACTCTGGGTTCATGCTAATGTGTCCGTTCCTGTGTGGGCATGTTCAATTTACATCAGTTTTATTGTGATTTGTTTTCTGTTTTGTTTTTTGTCAGACTAGTAAATACCTGTTAAGTTATCACAGATGTCTGCTTTTGGGACGGGAAACCTAGAGACCCTGACCTTTGCTGTTGCAACAGCAATGGCAGAGTGGCTGCTGGGCAGGACGCCACAGGGTGCATGCAGCCTGTGGGCCACCAGTTGGACAGCGCTGGTCTAGTCTGCCATTTCTGTAGTCTGTTAATGATACTGCCATGAGAGACGCACTGTGTGCTTTTATTGCCCCCCTGCTCACTGCCGAGGGTGATTGCCCATATCACTTTACTCCCTGTTCTGCCCCATTACACCACTAATTGACTGATGGGAGGGGGAACCAATGGAGGAATATAAAATGTGAAGTCAAAATAGCTAGTTAGGAAAATAATGTTTCCACCTGCACCCTGTCATCATGGCATGGATGCCATTGGGACATGGCTGTATTTGTGAAGACCAGAAGGAAATTTCAGTAGCCGAAATGCAACTCTGAGTGTGTTAACCTTCTAAAATAGGAAAGGCATATCTTACAGGTACTATGAAGGAAAGCATCTGGAAGCTTGGCCCCAAAGAGGGGTCAGAGATAAAAACATAGCAGCCACATTACAGGCCTGAGTAACTGGCAGGTTGGTAATATGTCCAGAGTCATCAGGAAAGCAGGAAGTAGACTGGGCTTTTGGGGAAAGTAAGTCTATGGACAGGCATTTATATTGTTACAGAAGTATAGCACACTAGGGCGTACAGCAGGGGTGGGAAAATAGGGTCTACCAATTGATTGCATCCAGCCCATGGTTGCCCTTGTGGCTCTCTGCATGGGACCGAGCCCTACACGTTCTTGCCTAGGGCAGCCCACACCACACTCCCGCCCATGCCCAGTGATGGCCCCAGCCAGCATGCACAGCTTCCTGGCAAGGCTGCTCCTGATACAGCTGCAGCTTCCTGGGCACTGCTTGGCTTCCCGTGTCTCCAGCAGCTGCTTCTCCACTGCCTCCTGCTGCAGGCAGATGAGGGTGGAAGCCAGCCAGGAGCTGGAGCCAGAGCCCCTTGTCCTGGGGGGAGGAGCCACCTGGCTGCAGGCTCTCCTCATCCTCCCTGTGGCTGCAGATCTACGAAGCTGCCTCAAAGGTGAGCTTTCCAGCCAGGGGGTGACCATTCTTGGGTCCACCCTCCCCTTCCCCTTGCTGGAGAGCATGATTGCTGACAACTTGCCCTCTTCCCTGCTGAATGTGTCCAATGTAACAAGAGAGGAGTGAAGGTGCTGAAAGGGACAGAGGAGGGAGGTAGCAAGAAGCATGTTGAGAGAAGCCCAGGATTGTAGCATATGTTTCCATAGGTGGGTGTGAGTGAATGTAGGATCTAGGTTTGTTCTGTAGTGGGGGGGTTGGGAGAGTAGGTTGGAGAGACCAGAGGGGTGAGTCCTACCTAGTGGGAAAGGGGAAGGAGGACAAGATACTATGAGCAAGGAAAAGCTTTTGAGAGAGCCATAGGTGAGTGGCAGATGGCTATGATGATCCAAAAAAAGATAAAAATAAAGTTTGAAAAATGTTGTGGAAATGGCTTGTGGGCAGCAGCCCTTGCCAGAGCAGTTAAATTGCATTTTCTTAGTAAGGGTCCAAAAAACCGCAACAAAAACCAACAAAAAACCCTCCCCAAAACTGGGCTGTGTCCCTACATTGATCATGCCTTGTTACTGAACCATTTTATGTCTGTTCTCTTTTTAGGAGCAGTACGACTTCCAGCTCTAGAGGGAGTGGGAGTCACTGCAAACCTGACAGTCAGGAAGAATCTCTAAGAACAAAAAGCTCAGAACAGTCAACACCAGAGACTGAAGAAACAAGTAAGATGCATAGTTATTCCTGTAACAATAAAGTCAAGACTCTACACCAGTGATTTTCAACCAGAGTGTCATGGGATCCAGCACAGTGTTAGCTGCTAGGTGTGCAAATATAATTCACATGACAAACCCAGAGGTTTCAAATGAGAATCTGTAGGTGTTAAAAACGTTTTGGCCTGTTGTGGTCTTTCTGAGTTCTTTGCAACAACAGAATTGCTACATTATTTTTCTGTAGTTAAAAAACAAGTGAAAACTAAGAGCTGGCATTTTCTGAGGGGTGCCATGAGTCTAAAAAGGTTGAGAATGACTCTTCTTCCCTAAGATGTTCATAGCTACTGTTGGACTCAATGGTGGTTGCACTGACACCCGTGTGGTGGGCCAGTAGGGGGCGCTTCTGTGTTGAGCCGCCCACCTCCCTGCGCCCGACCACCTTCCAGGCTCTGAATGCCTCCCTATGGGCGCCTTATGTCCGGCCAACCCCCTTCTTGGAGCACACTCACTAGCCTGGGGGTAGCGTCGCCACCACCACCCCGAGAATGGACTCACTCGCGGCCCTGTGTCCTCGGGGAAACACAGGCTTTCAGTCCTATGGGTACTCGACCCAGTACAGGCACTTGGGGCACTTCCCCAAGTCTGGGGGCAAAAAGGTATAGTCTCCCTTAGTCTGCAGACCTAAGGGGTTTCTTAGGCATAATTTAGACCCACCCCTCAGTAAGTCTCCCACACCAGTCACAAAAGGGGACTTTATTGAGTACAGGGGTAGGGTCAAAACAAGGTACAAGATTGAGCAATATCTTAGAAATCCTAAAGAGCAAACAGTCTTGCTGTGGTAGCCTTTTGATCATGCATCTGAGTTACTGTCAGCTAGATATCTATCAGATCTCGAGGAACTTACTCACACGCTTCTTCCAGAGGCTGGTGAGATCCTTTGTAGCATCCGGCTGTTCCTTGTTCATGAGTTTTTGGGGGAGAAGCTACTGTTAGATGGTACAGCTTCTCTGAACTCCCCCCAAGCCCTCAGCTCCACCGCATGGCAGAAGAGACCACCTTCCGGGCAGTCCTAACTTATATAGCCCCTGTGACCTCATACACCTGGTCCAGTGGAGGCCAGCTCTGGTTGGCTGTCGGCCAACCAATTTGAAATACATCACTAGTTGCCGGGCAGATTCCAACCGATCAGGTAGAAACCCCTTACTCAGGTAAGTGATGCAAGTCATGTAGGCAGAGGGAGCAGGTTTCCCCCCTCCCTCAGGAATGCAGCCAGCTCAAGTTACCTAAAGAGACAGGCTGAGGGTGTGGTCACAGCACAGAGATTTAAATCAGTGTCACAGGGCAGAGATTTTTGGGGAGAAACCAAGGTGGCTTTCTGCCACAACCCATATAAGGGCTAAATGTAACAATAATAGAACACTATTTCTGTTTGTTTTCAAGAAAGCAAACTGGATAACAACTCAGGGAAGTAACAAATTACCAACTTTAAAACTACAGTGTTAATCAGAATAGTTTCATAGTTTCATAGTTAGTAGGGTTGGAAG